GAATAAAATATTATATAAATGCTACGTTTGATTTAGTTTTAAAAAATTGCAGGATTTTCCGATTTGTTTAGTTATTTTCCAATTTTTCATAAGCGTTTTAGCCATTTGCTTTCAACAATGCATATTTAGTGGTTATTCACTACTAAATGTCAATATTTCAATATAATTTATTTATTTTATAATTTATTGTTTTACATAAAGACTATTTTCTGGAAAACTCTTAAAGAGAACTCAATAACTCTGTTTCGTCACATTTTACTATTAACTTTCCAGTCTTTACAGAAGAAAGTGTTATTTGATAGACTGGACGTAATTTATAGTCTTTCGGGGGAGAAGCACCACGCACGTTTACAACAGTCATCACGAGAAGAAAGAACGGGATTTCATTAAACCACTATGTGTTTGAAATGCCTCATTATTTCACTTTCACATGGGACCGTACGCGAAAGCGCATCGGTATGATAGGATTTTTCACCCGAACTCTAGTAAATGTTCCTTGATAAGAGTTCACAGTGAGATAGATATTTAGAGCATTGTGATCTTGCAATCTAAATAACAACTTTACAACAATTTCGTATAATGAAAAGACACTTTGCATCTCATGATCTAATGCTGCACCAGAGAAATATATCTATTTCAAAATGTGCTTCTATTTAATCGCATTTTAGTGTGTTCTGTTGAGATTTGCAAAATTAGCACTTGCTATTTTTACATGTAAAGATGCGAAATTAATTAACATGATGAATATAAAGAATAAGTTTTGCTATTCATGTTACGAAATATACATTTAACTTTTCAACAACGGATTTTGAATGTTGAATTTTAAAAATAGTGTGAAGGAGAGAGAGAGAGAGAGAGAGAGAGAGAGAGAGAGAGAGATTAATACTCGTCAACTCTCCGGGCCCATGAAATACACTAAATACAGATACATTCGAAGTTTGTTTTTAAATTAAAATTCAGAAGAGATTCGAGACCTATGGTGGGTAGATCAAAACATTTGTTTCTGTTACATTGATACACATAAATACAGTAATTGTCCATCTCTGGTAAAAGTATCACGAATCATGACTTAAAAGTGAATGGAGGGCAGGAAAGGGGGGGGGGGGGCTGTTAATCAAAACTTGCATACTAATTATTATTCAGTGAATTTATTATCGTTAGAGGCCATGTCTCCATTAGAATAGGCTGTTTAATTCTACTTTTAACACTAGATTTTCTCCTTGTTTGACTTTATTGTTCATATTTTAAAAGATTATCAATATATCAACGACATCGTAGCATTGTATAAATTAAATGTTATTGTGTATGAACTAACGTTTTTTTTCTTTTAAACTGATTTCAATGTATTAAATTATCCAACAAATATTCCCCTCTCCCCCACTTTTTCTTCAAACATACAAATTTGCAAAATGCGCATATCATGGAAACGGAAAAATCTAGACACTTTGAGAATGCAATTTTTTTTAATTGGAATTATATAATGCATAAGTGATCTTTGAAAGGAACTCTTCAGATTTCGCCGGTACAAAATAAAATATGGTGCATATGTTGAACTTTTGAATCGTTATATCAATAAATTCACATTTTTTTTAAAAATATATATAATTATATATTTTTTTCATAACAAATGTACAGATACTAGTATTTTTTGTTCGGTCAAATTAAAACATGCTTATTTTATGTGGGTGTCATGTCATTTCATGACTTTTTATGCCGGGTAAATAAAGTAATATATGTTAAGAAAAGTCTTCGATCCAAAGATACTTCACTATTACCCATCCCATAGCAACAGCAAGGAAATTAGAAAGTTGGTACAGTGAATATTTATCAGCCGTAGAAAATGAACCCTTTCAACTTGCTCCCACTCGGGAAAACACCGTGTATTTGATACTATCAGTAGAGCTATAAAACGAATAGATGATCCATTATTTTCATTCACTTAGGTAATTTGAGAGAATTTATCAATGAGTATGGAACTTTGAAAGTAATTGACTAGAAACTTGCAAGAATGCTGAAATTGCATGATCATTAAATTCTCAGTTGCTTTGACGTGGCATGTAACATTAATAAAGAAACTTTAAGTTGTATGTAACGAACGTCACAAAATTTAGATCTTTCACGCTACTGTATTCTCGGGTGTCGCAAAATGCATGTACATGTTTTGTTAGAAGACGTAAGTATGAAGGATCTTATTTAAACTCGTGTTTAATAATAAATAAATCATTAAAATAATACAATCATTAATTCTGTAGAAATGCATAAGGTTTTTTTTCCTCACATCAAACAGTAACATGTATATCTTTTACAGTTATCAAAACTTTACACGTTATATATTTTAACCTATCCCTTTTACATGTAAAAAAAAAAAAAAAAAAAAAAAAAAAAAAGTTTCAACATATTTTATCAGTAATTAGCTGAGATTTTTGTAAGTTAGATTGTCCTCTCCTATATACAAAGAGTATAAACAAAAATGCTCGTTACACAAAAAATGTAAATAAATATATTTAGAGTGCGGGGTATGAAATGGTTTATAAGAACAGAAAAAAATATTGCAGAGGGAAGAGGGTTGTAGAAGAAAGAGGAATGATCATCAAAATCATCAAAATCTTTTCATTTTATTTTAGATTTACTTGTGCAAAGCTTTAAAAATGTTTGTTATTTAGGCGGCCCACAAATGGGTCCTCATGGAGGATAATATCAAGGGCTAATATTCATTTATTATTTCTTATGGTGTGAAATAAAGCGGATCTTAACTCATTGTACATTTTAAAATGCAGAAAATAAATCTGGGTGTTTTCGTTAATTAACCCACAGGAAGACTGCGTTTATCTAAAGGACTTATTTTAGATAAATCTGATTTTATATTTATACATTGATGGTAAATGATAAAGTTTTAGCGTAACAAGATTTCCTATTCCTTGAGACATCGTTTATTTAAACCCAAATATATTTTTATTTAATTTTAAGTACGTCTTTCAGATTCTAGCATTTTATGCGATGTCAATTATGCGACGAAAGAGTAACAGTTATTAGCGGAGTACCAGGCTATTCAATGTTAGGAAAATCTGACCCTTTGATGTCTGTGATGAGTGTTTCGGACATCTGTCTATACAAGTTAAAGGCGACCCGTCGAAATGATTCTAGTGCTGCCATTGGTAGAAATTAATGACAGGCTTCAGCCAGCCCATCGTATGCAAAATAAGATTAACATGGTAACATTTCCCGCGAAAAATTACACTCTTTCAGAAATTCTATTATCCTGTGTTCTGTTGAAATCTCCGAACGTTCTCTATACATCAAGGTAAGATATCTTTTAATTTCTATTTTTTTTATGTAAAAGTAAATTAGATAGTTCATCGATTCATTAAAATCTCTTTAGTTCATGAGGGATCAAGCTTAAATAATTTTGAGGCTTCAGGTTGTACCACATTATCAAAATTTAGGACATCGTCTTAGCAAAATTGTAGAGCTTTAGATGTTAATTTATCATTTTAAATAGATAATTTAAAACAAACGTCGTGGAAGAAGTACTCCTGTTCACATTTTTTTAAAACAATACATTATATATACATTTGTAATATATCTCTATGATATATACATATATACATGCAGAGAGCAAATATCTTCATTTTCACAGGCCACAGGTCATTACTTGACCTAATCACACTGCGCAATCATGCACGGATCTAGAAGGGGGGGGATCGGGACCCCTGGAATTTGCAGAGTTATTAAAAATATATACTATACCAAGTAAAATTGACCTTGGACCCCCCCCCCCCCCGAAAACACTATCCTTCCTCGAAAACGCGGATCTATGTGAAATTGGTATGAAAAGTCATAGCTATCTATGTGAAATGGGTATGAAAAGTCATAGGTATGAAGCTTTAAAGTCAACGAACACCCCCCCCCACCCCACCCCCTTCATGAAATAGGTTTTTCACGTTTGGGAAAAGAGTTGAGTTTTTTCTTTTTCTTTTTTTTTTTTTTTTTTTTTGTCTGTTTGTTTGTTTGTTTTTCTTTTTTTAAATATATTTCTTGGATGAAAAAGGTTTTTTTTTGAATGGGGTGGACGGGGGGTCCACCCCCGGAAAAAATTCTTGGATCCGCGCCTGGCAATAATATCTACCGGTACATAAAATGACTTGTTTAAGTTAACAATGAGCATGCTTTTCATGTATAAAAAATAGGGATGGGTATAGCCAAAAATTTCATATCGCGATATATCACTTCAATCCTTATCATGAACTACCATTTTATTACACAAGAAATTTGAAAATCTGTTGGAAAAATCAATGCATTGCAATCACCCCAGGAACAGCTGACAAACACTTCTGTCCCTGTTTCGGGCTGACACGCCACTGATTCAAAGGGGAATTCGTAAGGTATTTTGCTTCAGCCTTGTTTCGACGTAAAACTAGGGGAAAATTCTGTTGATTAGTGTTTTACATGTATCTGCACATTTAGAGTAAGATGGGGAGGCTTTCTGAAAAGGGAGAAGTAAGTTTAGACGTTTGAAAAATGATAAAGTCGTCATGGTACGTGGTAATTAGATTCTTGATTTTTCGGCGGGGGGGGGGGGGGTTAAGTAATAAATTTGAAATCAAGGTCAACTCAATAGGCAAAAAAAGGTGTGGAGGCTCATAAAAGTCTGTGGTGCAGAGTGCCAATATATAATTCATAGGAAACTTGAACTGTGCACTTCGAATTAAAATGGACTTATATGTTAAGATGATAGAAAAAGGAATAACTTTACTGGTATTTTTTGCGTGCAATTCTTTTAAGCTTTAATGAAAAAACCTGTAGAATTTCAAGTTGACACACACACACACACACACACACACCCCTAAACAACCTCCCACACAATCCCACACCCTCTCTCTCACACACACAGACACCCTCACACCCACACACCCACAAACATTAAAATACCATCTACTGGCCGTTTATAGTACAACCATCTTCACAATATATGTAATTATTGTATGTAAATAGATTAGACTCACTTACTTTGATCGTCAACAGTAACTTCTATGTCCTTGTCATCAGTATCACTGCTTCCTACAAAGAAGGAGTCTACTGTGCGTCGCAATTTGTGGGATCTTCTTTATAATAAAAAAATTAACAAAAAATCCGTCGGCATAATTGTAGAATGGCTGAAACATATCACTGGAAATCGAAATATTTGCCCTCAATAGCGTATTCGAATTCGATTGGCTATATCCCCAAAAATCACCAATCAAATTAAGAATAACTGTTTGACATGCGCAGAAATAAACGAGCGGAAGTTAAATACTCTTTCAAACATTTTGTTGCAGATCGAGAAAAACATGTATTGAAGATGAAGATCTTTTGCATTCAAGTGAAACTGTCAATTCAGGACTAGGTAAGATATATGATTTTGACTTAAAAAGCATGTGCCATTTGTACAAAGTATTTAAGTTTTAAAGAATGATTGAATGTTAAAAGTTAAATGTTCAGCATACATATATTAAACAAGACAAGATATAGAAATGAGAAATAATAATAATAAAAAAAAAAGACTTGAAAAAGGGTGAACATATATACATATTTTTGGTCCTTTAATACTGGAAAATCGTAACGTTAAGACTAAAAGGACCGGCATTTCTTTTAAATTATACCAACATTGTACGTACTTAATGAATTTTTTTAATCGAAAATTTATTTTCCTGTAAGTTTTAATTGATTAATTATCAACTGAAATGAATTTTTAAAATCCTACAGTATGCCGTTTTGTTTAAATCTCTGTGCTTCCACATTATGAAGATATCTAGACTGAATGTGTAACGAGAATTTTTGATTGCGCATTCGATAACTTCGGATAATTCCCGGCGTTACTGACATGAAACAGCCGAGATGTGTCGAATGAGTAATTGTTAATCCATTCCTTACCCTTGAGGTTATTTTTATCAGTGTCCATATTACAAGAAGTAGTAAGGCTGATTTTTCCCATTAATATAATTTAATCCGCAACCATCGTTCTGTTCGCATCACGGAGTATACACATGTAATGAATAATGGTTCAAGGGATAATAACAACTGTGTAGATAGAAAAGACAATGCTAACTGCCCTGTTTTAAAATTATTTTCACAAATGCCGCTTTTCTAATTTTAAACTGACAAAATGTCAGAAATACTCAAGCTGTAGAAAGTAGTTACAAAGAAGTGTCATTAATATTCATAATCTAAAGTAAGAAATAGGCTATTAAGTATTTTCACGTGCTTGATAAATATATGAAAAAGTAAAGAATTTTTAGTAACCTTTTAACATCATACAAAACTTAAAATTTCATTAATTATTCTTTTACAGACACATGTCTTTTAAAAGTTATATTTATTCAGTATATTTCAGGAATATCCGTGGAAGCATTATTTTCTGTTGAACCCGCCCGTTTTAAGCAAATTGCTTTTCCATGAACGCATTTTTATATGCTACATGTATTTATATTATTAAATTCACTTACATGTAATATGTATATCCTAAAGACATAGCAAAATTTGATCTATTACACCCAGTATTAAGTTTCTTTTTTAAATGAGACCCCCCCTCCGAAAAAAATCCCTCAAATCGATTAAAATTGGTACATCAAATTCCAGTCATTTTTCCTTTTTTTCATCATCTTCGCTTTTCTATTATTTCCTTTAAAATAGAAATTTACCAAAAAATCGGCATGCGATGATAATCCCTAAAACTTATGAATTATGTTTTATCGAATACAGCCCGAGAAATTAATAACAGTTCTATGACAGGGAAAGAATTTACGACTTTGTAATATTAAAATATATACAAAATTGTTGTTACATGTAAACTGGAATAGAGTAGTCAGATCAATACACTGTGTTACCGACGAAAGATTAACCTGTTTCACCTTTCAACAGTAACCAATGAACTCGTCCGTTGACGGTTGTGGGAAATTCTACGAAAAGGAAAAGCAATCGTCGGTAACCAACGGGTGAATCACGTCGAATTTCTCTATCTTGTGGACTGGTTTTGATAATTTGAAATTTTGTTTTGTTTCCTTGATACCTAACAAACGTGTGAATATGTATTCAATATGCCCGGAATAGGTACTCAGAATAATTACCGTGTGTGTTGTGTGTGTGTGTGTTTAAATAATTGATGTGTAAAGTTTTTTTTTTCATAAATAGATAAATTATTCAGTATGCTTTCAAGTAAACATCATCTGTCTCCATCAGCCGCGCTTACTCTTTCCTCGCATATTTAATAAGGCCACCTAAAAAATAATGTTCGTTGGACTTCTCACTCAAAATGAAATCGAAGTACCGATATTCTTCACTGTCAACCTGAATTAATCCATTTACTAAAAAACAATGAAATGTAATGATTCATTGAAATATCTCGTATTAAATGTATAATTTTGGTTACAGATTCTGATACCCTAAAAGAATATGAAGCAGTGAATGAAAGAATGGGATTGTCTTGTGGAGTTTTAAAAAAACGATCGAATTTATGTTATACTAGATGGCATCGACTAAGATTAAAAACCTAAGGTAATCTCTCTCTCTCTCTCGATATTAGGTAATCTTTATATATAACGGACTCTTTGATCTGTTATCATGACACAGAGAAAAGATAGGACTGGACAAATATTTCCTCATATTAAGCAATACAAGTTTTTAAAGAAAAATCTGCCAAATCAAGTCTAATGCTCATTGTCATAATATAATAATAGGAAGTGGTGCCATATAAATCTATGCTTTGATTTTTAAAACATATTTACAAATTACGTTCATATGAAAAATGATTGGTCTTTGTGAGGTAAAGCATTTGAACGCATGTAATTAATCTACAGTGTATTTCATACCCTATAAATGGAATTCGTTACAGGAACTATTATACAAAGTGACTTTACGCCCTAAAGTGGTAAAGAAACAATATTCAACAGCTATTTCTATTGACTTCTTCAAAATTGTCAAATGGACAATTTTTTACGCAGCAACTGGTTCACTAAGATGTCATAATTCTTTTCTTCTGCTGTAATAAAGCTTTCATTTTGTCAATTGAATGAGGATATTTGAAATAATAATCTGCCTGAGAATTATAATTTCATACGCTCATCTTAAGGCAGGGCATATTTTGTTATGGCGTTTATGTTTGTCCATATGTCTGTCTGTTTACTTTTTCGTGTCCGGCTCATAATTTTTATACTATGAGCATAAAATTAAGAAACTTTGTCAGTTGGTACATCTTGTGTAAAAGGTGTGTTTCACTCTAAAAATAGGTCATTGTGACCTTTAATTAAGATGTTATTGTCAAGAAAGGGGAAAATCCTGTCCGGCTCATTACTAGATACATGTAACTATTAGACCAAGAACCGTAATACTCGACCATTTGATGCATCATAAATAGAGGGTTTGTCGCATCCTATTTAAAGGGCACTTTGACCTTCATTTAAGGCAAAATTTAAATATATATATATGTATGTCTTTACATTTTAAATTATACAGTCCCAAAAGATGTAAGAATATTGCAGATATTTAAAAAATGTTTCATAAAGAAAATACACAGTTTTTTCTCATTGCTAATTTTACAACAATTTTTAACAAATATAGTAACGTTTTGTTTGTGTCAAAAACAAGAGAGAAATTCCACATTGGTGTAATTATCAAGCAGTAGTCAAGAAGAATTTTAATAACAAATTAGATGTTCAATTAGAGATAAATTAATGAGTTTCCTGTGAGGAATTAACTGGTAGAGCATCTCTGATCAGGCAGATGTTATCTAGATCTCTTGGGAATTAAGCAAAAGAATTTAATTGCTCAGTCTTGGATAAAATTATCTTGCTGTCTAGCCTCTTTCATAATAAATCCGGTATAAAGTAATGAAAACTAATTTGAAATTGTACAGTGTGAATTTTTTTTAATATGGTCCAGCAAATGACAATGGTATTAATTGCTTAGATAAAGACTTTTTGCAATACACAAAGTCTGGAAAAGGGAACAAATCTGATGGCAATTATGGCTGCTTAACGTCTATGAGAAATATTTGGGGGGGGGGATCTCCTGCAGGGTCTTGGTTTACTCATCTCTGGGATTTGTCCTAACCTCTTTTATTGGATATGTTTCCATTAGGAAGTACTGGCTCATTTTGCCACATTTTTAGAAAAAAAAAATAAAGATACCAAATGCAGTTTATTATTCATAGTTCTTACCTTTTTTTAAGTATCTGAGGTCAATTTCCATGTTTACCCCATCACACTTCTCTGCCTAAATCTGTCCAGCATTATGCACAAATGTAATAAATTTGTTTGGTGAATGTAAAAATTCAATTAATGGTTTATTTGACTATATATTAGATAGAAAAAATATCAAAGAATATGAATTTTACCACTCAAATGATGTATATTTTTTACAGGGTATTACAGAAGAGGAATAGAATATTACACAGTGGAAGTTGTTGAATACTTGGGAGTAATAGAGAAGAACAAGTAAACCTACTGCAAGACTTTTTTTTACGAAAACTCGATGAACAATTTATCATGTCTAATATTAACATGAATTTATTAATACTAAACTAAAAAGACACACAGAAAATTGCCAAAATTTCTTTAAATTTATCTGAATTGTCTTCCCTTTTAAAGCTCTCTAACAACCACTTGTTAAAAATATTTACTTTTTATATTATATTTTAAGCAATCAGCGTTTAAGACTTGCGAATAAATCTTTTTTCAGACTTATTTTCTTAGCAAGTAACTGTTATCACATGTTATAAACATATAAATTTAATAATGAATTTCTTATCAAACTGTTGTTAAAAAGTTGTTTTCCTTTAAAGTTTTCTGAATTAACTTCCCTTGTTATTCTAACAACTAGTTGCTAAGACATTTTCAGGAAGCTATCTAAGATATTCTTAACAAGCAATTGTTAAGGTTAAGACTTTCTTGAAGCTATTTAAGATTTTCTTAACAAGCAGTTGTTAGGGTTTAGACTTATTCAGGAATCTACGATATTCTTAACAACCAGTTATTAGGGTTTTAAGGATACACCAAAGGCTTTTTTCAAGATTTCCAACAATTTTGAGATTTTTGGCTAGAAAAAGAAGTTAATCACTGCTTTATAATGCATGCAAAATTCTGGGTAATTATGAAATGGTTTTCTAATTATTTAACAATAATGAAACATAAACACTACCACATGTGAATGTTTCGTTATTGAAGCTTCTGATTTGATCTGTGACTGCCTGCTCATGAAAGATGCAATAAATCACTGTGACCACTGTGAATTCTACACTAGCCACACAGAGGTTATCAGTAATTAAACCACAGGGACTCTAGATTTAGAGAAGGAGATCTAACAGATCACTGATGACCATAAAATAGGAGGTGGAGCTTAGCTCTTGCCATTTTGCGGGGGAATCTTTCTGATTCAGAATTGAACCTATTTTACTTAATTAAAAGCACTAAATACAGAAAAGAACCTCCCTTTCTTGTGAATATGCATAGGAAATATGGCCAAGTGACAGGTATCCAAAGCTGAATCTCCAAGGTGTCATATATTAATTATTCCTAGCTTTGACAGATTTTATTGTGTTATGGCTTTTTGCCCTCTACTGTAAAGTAAGATCAGACAGTTTGTGTATTATTTCAAAGGATTCAGCTCCCTTATTTATTGACCAATTTCTCTGAAAATTGGATGGGTTGCTTCTCAAATGTGTGTTCACAAAACTTTTGATATCTAGCTTAGTTTTGGAATTATTGAGGGAAATGTTAAATTATAGGCTAATAAATTGATAATATTGAAGAGCAAATGGCTGTAACTTTTGAATTAGAAGATTTATCAAAAATCTGAGATACAGTTTTTAAGTTCAATCTTTAATCTACCCTGAGGCAAAATGACCACTTTGAGGGGTTAAATACAAAAAAGTTGATTTATAAAATATTTATGCACTAAAATTTACATTAATATTTAAATAATTTTTAAGTAAGTTATTAATTAAAGTTTAAATTAGGATAATTAAATAGTAAATTTAACAAGCTTTCAAATGATATATACTTTTATTATGTTATCTTTGATAATGAAAGAATTACATGTAAATTAAATTCTGGCATTTGGAAACCTTTGGTGTATCCTTAAAAGAATTGCACTAATTGAAACATAGCTTTCTTAACAAGCAGTTGTTAAGAAAATATCTTGAACATACTCCTAATCTTTTAATTAAAACGTTAAGACATTTTCCCCAATGTTTCCTGAGTTGTCTAGCCTTGGTCCTCTAACAACTAGTTGTTAAGAAAAGAATATTTCATTAAACTTGTATGTGCTATATTTGCTTAATAATTTTAATTGATTGTCAATTGTCAATTTTTATCCCGGTTTTCTAGCAAATTTTAAAAGGATTCCATGGACCTACTTCTAGCATCCTTAACAAGCAGTTGTTAAGACTTTATTCAGTTTGACTTCCTTTCCATTTCTAACAACCAGTTGTTAAGAATATATCCTGTGAAATTCTTCTGGTATTCTTAACAAGCAGTTGTTAAGACTTTATTCCGTTTGACTTCCTTTCCATTTCTAACAACCAGTTGTTAAGAATATATCTTGTGAAATTCTTTTGGTATTCTTAACAAGCAGTTGTTAAGACTTTATTCTGTTTGTCTTCCTTTCCATTTCTAACAACCAGTTATTAAGAATATATCTTGTGAAATTCTTTTGGTTTTCTTAACAAGCAGTTGTTAAGACTTTATTCCGTTTGACTTCCTTTCCATTTCTAACAACCAGTTGTTAAGAATATATCTTGTGAAATTGTTTTGGTATTTTTAACAAGCAGTTGTTAAGACTTTATTCCGTTTGACTTCCTTTCCATTCCTAACAACCAGTTGTTAAGAATATACCTTGTGAAATTCTTTTGGTATTCTTAACAAGCAGTTGTTAAGACTTTATTCTGTTCATCTTCCTTTGCATTTCTAACAACCAGTTATTAAGAATATATCTTGTGGAATTCTTTGGGTAGTCTTAACAAACAGTTGTTAATAGCGATTCTCTGTAACCACTTAAACTTCTTTGCCACGCATGGTCACCGATTTTGATGAAACTTTGCTCATAATTACAACTTGACACCAGAAACATATATCAAATAAAATTTCGTTGCTATGTGTCTTGGTTGCCATGGTAACAGCCAGAAAAGTTGAAAAAATTGAGATTTTCAGCTACTTTGAATCTTTATTGAGCCTTAATAAAGACTAAGAAAAACAAACAAATCATTCTCCCAAAAACATGACACTTTGTTGCCACTTATGCTATAAAGAAACTATTTAGAATTTATCTCTAAGTAAGTGGTAACCATGGGTACATTTGGAATACATTTTAGACGCTACAAAATGCTAAAAAACGCTCAATATTCACAAATGATAGATGTTACAAGATCAAACTCAATCAACAACCTAAGAAAAACAATAAAAAATACTTGACTTTATGTAATTAGGTATTGGTAATATTATTCTAGATATAACTTTCATGGTTGCCATGGT